CCTACATTCCAGGTTCCTATGGTGTGTTGATCTTTAGAGCATCGGATTCGTCGTTCACCTCCAGTACCGTCGGCCGCTAGCCTTCCTTTCGGCTTTAAGCTAGCTGCGTCATCACATCTGGGGCTAGTTGAACTTATCCTCTGCTCCTCCCCAGTAGCATTTTGGCCATCTTCCGACCTGGGAGTCCCATCTTCCAATGGCATACCGACATATCTCTGGTTGTACTGGTCCATTTAGTTTTCTTGGCAAGGATACTGGGGTGGTTTGCCATTGCCTTCCCCAGGGATCACTAATAAGACCACTTCTTATTAAAACCTAAGTATGCATTTGATTCCATGTTCAGTACTTTGAACATTACACTACAGTACCATCTCTTCAATCTGTGGTTATTATTACATGATAGTAACAAAGATTTTTTTAAAATGGAAGGATTTCTTCTGTTATTGTGCTGGTGTTGGCCAACAAAGCCCTAAACGGTTCCGGCCCAAAATACCTGTCTGACCGCATCTCGGCCTATGAGCCCACGAGGACTTTGAGATCGTCCGGGGAGGCCCTTCTCTCGATCCCGCCTGCCTCACAGGCACGCCTGGCGGGGACTAGGGACAGGGCCTTCTCGGTGGTGGCCCCCGGCTGTGGAACACCCTCCCTGTGGACATCAGACTGGCGCCCTCCCTTATGACATTCCGCAAGAGACTAAAGACGTGGTTGTTTGAGAAGGCGTTTGAGTAAATGCTGCAACAATTGGCAATGACGATTGGAACGGAACATGGATAACGAGATTTGGATTGTGATTCAATGACGAGACGTCGCGAATGATTTAGTGTAATTGTATTATTGATAGTGATGTTGTTTATTGTTGTTTGTGATATTGCTTATGTTGCAAATTGTACCTGTTTTTATATGTTGTACACCGCCGTGAGTCGCCCTAGGGCTGAGAACGGCGGTCTACAAGTGCAGTAAATAAATAAATAAAATAAATAAATAATGGTTCAGAGGACAAAGCAAATGATCCACAACATACGATGAAGTGTGTACCATTGGGATGAGGGTTAGCCTCTGGTAGAGCAGAAACTGGGCTCCTCTCCCAGCATGTTCACAGAGCAAAGTTGCATAGTACTGTCAGCCAGCCAAGGCAATTTGGCAGACAATCTCACAAGTTCTTCTTCTTTTACTTGAATGCAATTTTCATACATTGAATGACAAAAAATGTTCCTCTTGTGTGAAACACCTCAAGTCTACAGTCTGGGGAGGCCACTTCACACTAGTGAATGGTATTGTGAATGGCCCTGACCGGGACATTAGAAATGTTAATTGTAAGTTATTATAGACCAGGGATTGTATTAAAATTGCTATTAGAGTTGTACAAAGATCTGATCTTTTTTTCTGAAGAGGAATATGCTTAGGCTGAGAGATAAGTGATTAAAACAAACCCAGCTACATCAGTTGTTGTTGTTGTTGTTGTTGTTGTTGTTGTGTGCCTTCAGGTCTTACACTTGTAAAAATCATTAGGCTAGCTGCTTGTTTTTACATTAAAGACTCACTCTGGGATATGGTAATCCTTACAGTGACCAGTCCTATAAAAAGTCCTTAAATTCTATTTTGCTTTCAGGGGCAGATCACTCAAATTGATCCACCAAATCCAGTATACTGAGAAAGTCCTGGGTCTTAGGCAATGAGATCTTTCTGCTGCTACCTGTCTCACCCCAATCCCTGCCTTGCCAGACAAGATGGTATCTGCTATGCTGAGTTAGGAGGTATTTTCTTTTTGGCTATAGGCCCTCAAACTCTAAACTGTGATCCTGACCTCTATGAAAATGAACAACTGAATTCCAGGAGAATGTGAACTAGTAAATAAATGAAATGCCTTAGTACTTGTACAGATCATATAGATGGCATATCATTAACTAAGAAAAATGTATTTTGAGAACATGGGAAACAAATGTCAGCAGGATATTATGACCCAAACTCAGTACCTCTGCAATGTTCTGTGAGCATACAATATAACCAGATGTTTCTAAGCATTTATAAAACTACCTATTTACCTTTTGGAAATACAAGGATCACTATAGGCAGCATATTTCTCACATAAGCTTCCTGAAACCCCAGGATGCGTACACACACATTGACCACAAATGCATTTGCCTCTTTCACTGCAGATTGTCCCATCTTCAGAAATGCAACTGTCAATGGCTGTGGTGCAGTTACAGTACTCCCCCATCCAACCACTGTGGCAGATACACTTGTTGCAGTCACAGTCTCCATTACCTGAGGGAATTAATGGAAGTTAGTTATTGATTTCTACCCATTTCACGTTTTTAGTGGCCCAAATAATTCACCCAACTGTCATAGCCCTCCCCCCGACCCTTTTATTCTTACGTATTCTACGTTTTAAAAAATGGTACCAATGCATTTATATAATTTGAAGAAACCCAGAGCACTACAAGATCTCACTAAAGTTCTAATGGTTGACTAATATAACTGAGGAGTGAGAACACTTTTGGGTTTCACAGGAATTAGGCAAAGGAAGGAAAAGGGAAGGTATGAAATAAAACAGTGTTTCTCAATCTGGGGGTCTGGACCCCAGGGGGGGTCATAAGGAGGTGTCAGAGGGGTCATCAAAGACCACTAGAAAACACAGTATTTTCTGTTGGTCATTGTATGGGAAGTTTGGTCCAATTCTCTCATTGATGAGGTTCAGAATGCTCTTTGATTGCAGGTGAACTATAAATCCCAAGAGCTACAACTCCCAAATGTCAAGGTCTATTTCCCCCAAACTCCACCAGAGTTCACATTTGGACATATTGAGTATTCGTGCCAAGTTTGTCCAGATCTATCATTGTTTGAGTCCACAGTGCTCTTTGGATGGAGGTGAATTGCAACTCCAAAACTCAAGGCCAATGCCCACCAAACCCTTCCATTATTTTGTGTTGGTCATGGGAGTTGTGTGTGCCAAGTTTGGTTCAATTCCATTGTTGGTGCAGTTCAGAATGCTCTTTGATTGTAGGTTAACTATACATTCCAGCAATTAAAAATCCAAATGACAAAATTGACCCCCCCCCCAACCCCACCAGTATTCAAATTTGGGCGTATTGGGTATTTGTATCCTGCATATCAGATATTTACATTACGATTAATAACAGTAGCAAAATTACAGTTATGAAGTAACAACTAAGATAATTTTATGGTTGGGGGTCAACACAACATGGAGAACTGTATTAAGGGGTTGTGGCATTAGGAAGGTTGAGAACCACTGAAATAAAATATATTAGTGGATTATATGATAAAAACCCCCTCTAGGGTCAGTAATCAAGTGAAATAAACCCTTGTTTTGAAACTTTTCCATACAACACAGCACCATTCTATTTGTATTTATTCGGGAATAAGTCAAGCAGAGTTCAACAGGGCTTGCTCATTACTTTATGGCAGTGGTTCTCAGCCTGTGGGTCCCCAGATGTTTTGACCTTCCACTCCCAGAAATCCTAACAGCTGGTAAACTGGTGGGGATTTCTGGGAGTTGTAGGCAAAAAACACCTGGGGACCCACAGGATGAAAACCACTGCTTAATGGGTTTAGGATTGCAGTTTTCCACATGTTATGGAAAGTTGTGTCCACAATGTTCTACTGGTCGATCCTCCAAATTAGTTAGCATTGTGGGTAGAATGGGTGGAAGAAGACAACTAAGCTGTCCCTCAACTCTCTTTAATTGATAGATACACCCAGAGCTTCCAAGTCATGAGCTGCAGCAAGTAACACCATTAACACACAGCATGAGTTCTTTTGTGTTGTGTGTGAAAAATTACACAATTGTGGGAATGGCCATATACAAAATATGATTGTAATGAATGTATACTCCATCATCACCTCACTTCAGTCTCTGAGCCACCTGAAAATGTTTACAAGCAAAAATTTTGTTGCAGTACAACAATGGCACAGACTTGGTATCTAATGGTGTCTCCTATCTGTCATTCATTGCAACAGACCATATATTCGATTCCCTATTTATTTTCTATCATTTTATTCTGTGAATTGATAATTGTTCAGAGTTTATTATAAACCTACCTCCACACAGCAGTCCTCTAAGTCTCACACAAGAAAAATCGTCACATTCACAGTCTGTCCCATAAATATTGCCATATGCCGACAAGTGGCAAACGCACTGCCCGCAGTAGCAGTCGCCTCTTCCACTGCAATACTTCTGCTCAGGAGAACTTCTGCAGGAATCTCGACTCAGCGATTCTTTTTCATCACATTTACAATAAGGGCCCAGGTAGCCGGGATTGCAAGTGCACACTCCACACTCGAACGAACCGTTTCCATCATTGCACTTTGAGCTGTTCGCCTCAGCTTCTTTCTGACAAGTACAGCTGCACTCTGGCTGAATATCAATTTCCAAAGCTTCACTGAGACCCACAGGCTTTATTAGGACTTTCCTTCTACTTTTCTCACAAGCAGATAGGCTTAATGTCAAGTTAAAAGTAACCTAGGGAAGTGAGGAGAACAGTATCTCAGTTTATTTTCAGTTTCTATCCCCCTGAACAAATCCTGCTAAGATAGGTTTGCCTTAGGGTAGCCTTAAGTCCAAAATAACTTGAAGGCACATAATTATAAGATGCTGCTCCCATATACCACTTATGCAAACACAGTCATATTACCTCTGAGGATATTCAGTCCCAGGCAAAAAAAATCCTTAAGTCTATTTGTAGGGTACATATTGTAGGATTCAGCCATAATTAGTTCACCCTCATGCATGTCATTCATGGGAAAATAATAATAATAATAATAATGATTATTATTATTATTTATTTTTTATCCTGCCTCAATCTCCCCAAAGGGACTCAGGGTGGTTTTCATGGGGGCCAAGCCCAATAAAAAGAAAGGTTACAGAGTAACACAATGAAAACATACATTAAAAACAGTAAAACCAAATAAAACTATATTAAACTATATTAAAAACTATATTAAAAATAGTAAAACCAATAAAATAAATCATAAAACACTAATCACACAACAAACAAACAACTTACCACTTCTCCTACTTTAATATGAGAGCATTTCTTCCCATTTGCAATGGCAGTGTTGTTGTTACAGATAGCAGTGAAAGACATGTTTAGTCCCTCTGTGTCTCCTAAAACTTCTAGTTCAATTTCAGACCGAAGTGCCTGAAAGAGTCAATGGTTAATGCATCACTGGAAAGATGGTATTTAATAGCAATCAATAAAAGGTAAAAGGTTTTCCCCTGACATTAAGTCCAGTTGTGTCGGACTCGGGAGTTGGTGCTCATCTCCATTTCTAAGCCAAAGAGCCAGCATTGTCCATAAACACCTCCAAGGTCATGTGGCCAGCATGGCTGCATGGATCGCGTTACCTTCCGTACCTATTGATCAACTAACATTTGCATGTTTTCAAACTGCTAGGTTGGCAGAATCTGGGGCTAACAATGGGAGCTCATCCCATTCCCCAGATTCGAACCTGCGACCTTTCAGTTAGCAAGTTCAGCAGCTCAGTGCTTTAACCCACTGCGCCACCGAGGCTCAAGGCCTTCTCAATATCTATATGTCTTTATGCCATATTATGCTTGATTTTATTTTAAATTATTTTACTTCTTTATAAGTTATATAGAGAATTTTGTTATAGAACAGCCTTCAGATATTGTCAAATAAACATATAAATATATAGGAGTCAGAGATTCAACTATTTATTGAGAAAAGGAATATAAGCATCAGAGTATATATAGCGTGGCCATTTGAACTATAATCATGACTTCCTTTGATTCAGTACACCACTCCTGATGACAGTGTCAAAGCTTAATACTGGCACATACAAAGCAATAAAACAACAGAGGCAATAGTCACTGGGTAACACGGGGCCAGTCTCTCTTTCTCCCTTAGGCTGGCCTATCTTGCAAGGTTTTTGTGAAGAAAACGTGGGGAAAAGGAGACCTGTGTATATAGCTTTGAGTTCCCTGGAAAAGAGGAATGTAAAAGGAGTATGCAAAGCAGGAGATCTTTGAACAGGAAATGTCTTTATTCGAAGCAAAAAGGCATCTTGAACTTTTAGGCATTATTTGGAAGTTCCAAAGTTGCAAAACAGTCTAGGACATATTCATCTCAGGGGACGGAAAGAAAACATAATACCCTCTGAGGATGCTTGCCATAGATGCAGGCAAAACGTCAGGAGAAATGCCTCTAGAACATATAGCCCGAAAAAACCCACAAGAACCTAATAATACCCTTACCTAATGTGTCTAAACTAAAGAGTTCCCTAGGCTACAAATACCAAAGGAGGTCTGGTCTAGTAAAACAAAGTTTAGAAAAGTTAACAATATGAAAGTACACCACAGAGTCTGCATCCACGGATTCAAACATCTACGAATTTAATTAAAAAAAAATCCATATAGTGGATACAGGCCTGTAGCGAGGGGGGGGGGGGGTTAGGGGTTCACCCCCCCCCGAAATGTTTCAGATTTTTTTTTTAAAAAAAACCTGGTTTACTCATGAATTTTAACTGGTTAACCAAATCCCCCTACTAAGTCTATGAGATGCAAAAAATTAAGAGTCCCTCCAGGACTGTAAGCACTATCTCAAGCAAATATTGACAATTTATTCACACTGTCATTACTTGCAGCAATAGCCGATGTAGGGAAGCAACCAAGTTGGGGGGGGGGGGGTGTTGAATGCTCTCATTAAGGAGGCCAGACGTGGTGGAGGTGGTTGACAGGAGCGGAGCTGCAGGCTATGGAAGGCTGCTCTGCCCCCTGCTGTGCTCTTTGCTTTAGGGTGAGCTAGGAGGCAGGTTTCAACCCCCCCCCCCGTGAAATTTTCAACCCCCCCCTGAAAATTTCAACCCCTCCCGAAATTTTTTTCTGGCTACGGCCCTGAGTGGATACCATTTTGGTGTGCCATTGTATGTAATGGAGCTTGAACATCACATGTTTTAATGGTTTTATATGTTTTTAATAATATTATGTTGAATGTTCTAATTGTATTTTTATGAATGTATGACATCAAATTGCTGCCAATTCTGTAAGCCGCCTTGAGTCGTCTTATGATTGAGAAAAGTGGGCTACAAATACCATAAATAAATAAATAAAATAGGTTTTGGGATTCATTAATAGGTTTCTGGCACCAAACTCCATGAATACCAAGGTCCCACAGCATCAGATAAAACACTGTGTTTCATCATATAATAATCACCACCACATACAAGTCGCACCCCCATTTGTGGGATAGCAAAATTGTTTTTTTTTCTTTTTCTTGCATAATAGTTTCACACTTTATTCACATGCCTGTGCCCAGGAAAGTGAATGAAGGGTGCAATTCGCCTGCATGCCTGCCCCCTTGGAACTATGGGTTTCCCTTCAGCTGGCAACTGTGGGAATCCCCATAGCTGCAAATGGGGCAAGCACGTGGGTGAGTGAGGTTTCACCCACCTGTGATCCCGCTCCCTTTGCAGCTACAAGAGGACACTGTGTAATAGTCACAATAGTTGCCACCAATGCGACTATTATGCGGTGAAATATGACATATACTTCCATACATATCGCTTTGAAAGTTCTTTTCTGCCATTCATTCCAGGATATGTATGAGTTTTGTTTATCTCTGTGCATACTCATGTATGTGCTACATCGTGGTAGTTTATAGATCTCAGCATCAAATACTTGTAAGGAGTTCCATATGTAATGCTGTGAATTGCTGGATTCATTACCAACTTGTAAAGAAATGCGTATGGGTGGTGGAAGGTCCCGTTTCTCCCCCCACATGTTGATTTTGGATATATAATTTAAGGATAGACAAGGTTGTTTTTTTTTTTAAAGAGCAATGTGACTTTGAAGAAGGCTTAGGATGAGTTCAAAGACTGTTCTCATTTGAGAAATAATGACATCAACCTATTTCTTTTATCTGGGTAATTCTACTTGTATGCTCATCTACTCAAATTTGCTTTATTTTGCCTTTGTCTTTAGTTTTGCTAACTATCAGAGTTACTCCGAATTAATCTCTAAAGGTAAGTTCCTTCGGTTTATGGTGTGCGGGAGAAACAGAGTGAAACACTAGTTTGGAGTTAAAGATGTTATTCTTGTGTGCACGCCGTGACCCTGGAAGAAAGTGCTGGAATTCATTTGGCTTCCCAGAGAGATGTAAAAAAGAGAAGTCACTTGGAAAATGTGCTGTGAGTCTTACAACATTCATGTGGGCATGTTTGAGGCCTAAGGGGTTCTTGAATGAAACATTAGGCAAAACTTGGCTTTGCAATTTAACCTACTCCTCTTTTCACTTTCTTATACATTTAAACTGTTGAACAAACTCAACTGCTGATGAAGGGATTTCCTTCTGCCCTTATTTAAAAACTCTGTATTCTGCCGCCTTGACTTCACATGAAATGAATGCCTTGAAAACACAAAACATTAGTTTAAAGTTGTTACAGTTTTTAACCTCTCCAGGCACGTTCTGACATGCTTACTGAACGCTGTGACTCACACTGGAAAGAGAATATGAGAAAGCCATACAACAAATATTTTGACAGCTCAGAGTTCCCTCATATGCTTACTTCCTCTGGAGGCTTTAAAAGCCAACACATCTGTGCATTACAATAACTTGGCTTTCTGCCACCATTTTAGAGCAGAAAGCCCTAAAATCAAAGAAACTTCAGTGTATTACTATTCGGGGGCAAACGTCAATCATAATTCCAACACTTACAAAGAAGGGATAGGAGGGCAGAGTGATGGAGTTATTTATCTTGGGTCATATAAGTGAATTGTGTAGTACTACCAGTGTATGCTGGGGGAAATGGAAGGAAAAAGGATGGGGGCCAACCAAGGGCAAGATGGATGGATGGAGGGCATCCTTAAAGTGACTGGCTTGACTCTGAAGGAGCTGGGGGAGGTGATGGCCGACAGGGGGCTCTGGCGTGGGCTGGTCCATGAGGTCACGAAGAGTCGGAAATGACTGAACAAATGAACAACAACAACAAACCAGTGTATGTGGCGAGGGGGAAATGCACACAATGTTTATTTCACTTTCTGGATTTAAATTTGGACCACGCTGTAATGGATAGGAATACATTGGCCATTCTGAGTAGAATGTAGCCTGATTGGCCAGCCACCATTGGTGTGATAACAGGTTTCTCCCATTACCTGAGCAACATAGCCTCTCTTTCAAGATAAAGCAATTAATGAGATGTTATGTTAAAAGTTACATGACTTGGAGTCTGCACAACAGGAGAGCACCGGAGATTGCAAGGGACAGTGACCCAATGTGGGCTAGGACTGAAATATTAGTCCTTCTGTGTCCCCAATGTAAGATAATGGAGCTGGAATAAGCCCTGAAAATGAGCAGGAAGGAAAACAGAAACAAAGACTCTATCAAATCCTAGCATCGCGTGTAGCCTAGCCTAGTCACAGTACTATTCAAGCTATATCATGTTTATTCCAGGTTTCGGTATTTTACAGCCTCATCAAAAAGGCCAGGAAAAGCGTCCCACTTTACCTGGCTTCCATAAGAAAAGAGATGAGCAGCGGGGTGATTTTGTCACCCTGTGCACAGCTCTCTCTGAGAGATGCTTTCCCAATCACATGGGGAAAGTGTCACCCTTCTGGGGAGGTCCCATTGGAGAGAAAGCATATGGCGACACTTTCAGCCTGGTTGCGTTTGGGGGCTCTGCCAGAAGTCACACAACATTGTGTGAAGTCTGGCATGGGCTCTGTCCTGAAGATGGGGTAGAAGTATCCTAGGACACTGTTTAAGGTAAGTATGATGAGGTCCCTAGATAATGACAATGAGATTATGAGCAATACCTAATGCATATGAAGTAATCCTTTTGCAGTATACGGTCTGATTTATACTGCCATATAATGCATTATGGAGCCCCCGGTGGCGCAGTGGGTTAAACCACTGAGCTGCTAAATGTTTCAAACTGCATTATATGGCAGTGTAAATGGGACCTATTTAAACAGTGCATAATATAACCACAGCATGTTTTTTGGTTTTGAAGATATTCTCAGGGTCTGGCACTGTATATAAACATAACTTCTGATTGTTGGCCCTGGACATGTAATATTGCAGTTCTAGCATTTCTAGAAGAGCTCAGCAAACAATACAGGCCACGGGGAGATGCCAAAATGGAGTAGATCAGTAGATTATGGAGTAAAACAGATCCGCATACCACTGAAACTTTAGTTCTTCTTTTATGCTACCAAGATAACCATTTGAGATTGGATGTCAAAGTGTGATAAAAGCCTCAGGACCATGAGGCTGAGAGGAGGATAAAAAAAAGAGAGTGACAACGGACTCTGCACACACACAGGGGAGCGGGGGGGGGGGGGGGGGGGGGGGGGGTGATTCCTGTCTCACCTGGTGGGAGATGTACAGTAATAGATTAGGCCACAGCCCCCAGCCTCCTACCCCTATGGACATCCAGATGAGAACTCTATCTGTATTTGTGAGTAGCCTAGGGAACTGTTTCATTTAGACACATTAAGGATTATGTTTCTATTTTGCAATTTGATCTCAATATGATGTAAACTGTTTTGCAGCTTTGCAACTTCTCAAGTAATGGCTGAAAGGAATGCCTTCATGTAGGAGATTCCTTTTTTTGGCCAATGCAAATGTCTTACTTAAGAGTGAAATCAGAGACCACCTTTCACATGCCTTTGATCTCTCTCTCTTTGTATGTGTTCCTTTGCAAAGAAAAGGGAGGAGAGAACAAGACAAATCCCCAGCAGTGTCCACTGTGCTGCTGGTCATGGGGATAGTGGCAGCTATTATAGATGGTCTCAGGGAATCCCGTTCCTCATTAGAAGCAGGGATGGGGCTGATGTGATGACGGTGGGTAATCAAGAACATCTACTTCCTCTTCATTCTTTAGGAGACCTTTTAGGAAAAGATATCCTTAGGCTACCAATATAAAAAGGCATTATGTTGCTGTTCCACCCCCCTGGGAAGGTCTACAAATTGAAGGCAAAGACACCTGGGCTCCCTGGATTATTCTGTGAATTAAGCAAAATGATTCTACAGAAAACAACTCCTTCAGAAGCACCTTCAGGTGCAGAACGAACAATGAATCATGCGACGTCACCAGCAAACATTTTGCTAACGTTAGTAAACCCCAAACCACAGTCTTTTTTCTATTTTTTTTAAATAAAGGTTAGCCTGAAGCAGGTTGGCAGGAAAAGTTAGCTTGAAGTAGGCAGGTGAATATTATTCATAGATTTTCTCATCCTTGGTGAGAAAGACTGTCTTGACACGTCAAGACACACTGTAAAAAATTGTCAGCTATCACAACATTTTTTGCTCTTATACTTTTGTATTCCTCCCACCAGAATTTATTTTCCAGTCTGGAACATTTCTCTGCATGGCTTCTATTCTTGTTATCTTTGCATAACCAACATCTTGCATGCAAAAGAACAGCATATATAATTAAATCCTTTGCAAGGTAAAGTGTACACTGAGTTCATACTGTATGTCTACAGTCGGGCCCCCACATTTCCCGATTTGACTTTTGCAGGTTTAACTATTCACGGATTTGATTCCAGAGGAAGTGGGCTGTAGAGTCATGCTGGAAAAACTAGAAATTCTTAGAAAAGTGTTCTCTCAGGTGAAAAAAATTAGCATTTTTATTCACATTTCCTCCTTTTCCCTGTCCCTAACCCCAGGAAATATGGAGGATTGATGTATTTCACTAGAATTCCACTTTATCTGCCATGATCCCATCCAGAATGCTGGGAGTTGTAGTTTACTGAGGGGCATTTAGAATTGCCAGCCATGGAGTTTTTCTGGTGGCTCTGACCAAACTACAAAGCCCAGGATTCCACCATAGGAGGCAGCCATGGCAATTAAAATGAAATCACAGCATGGTAACTGTATAGCATGGAAGGATCTCAAGTCACAAAGCTCACAGAAGCAATGAAAATATCATAATCATTATTTTTCAAAAGTACCTTGTATGCATCAATAATCAACTGGAGAACATTGCTAGAATCTTTTTGTAGTTGTCCAACTGTTGCTCCAGGAATAAGATCAGCATAGTTCTGTAAATGACAAAAATAATTATAATGCTGCAATGCATAACATGAGTTAGCCACCTAAGAAAGAATAAAACAGGCATAAAATAAAATCTTCAAGTAAAGCTAGTTCAGCTGGTCCTCCATATTCACAGATTCTGTATCCAAGGAGTCAACCTTCCATGGCTTGAGATACACACAGACACACACACATTTCCCAAACGTTTTGTCTTTGGGAAATAAGTATGTATAGGGATGTACTACACCATTGTATATAATTGAACTTGAGCATCCATGTAATTTGGTATTAGTTGGGTGGGCTGGGACCAAATTCCAACAGATACCAAAATCCCACTGTATGTTGTCTGTGCTGAAACTCAGATTAATGTTCTGCTTTTTCTCAGAGCACAATACTCATGACATTGTGTTCACTACATACAAACCAGAACTTGGGGCTTAAAGTAAGTTCTTGCTTTATACAGTGGAGCTTCATAACCCAAGATTAGTTCTTTTACTCCTGAATTTCAAATCACAATATCTTGTTCATACATTAGACCAAAATATAACTGGCTAGGTTAAACGGTAAAGGTTTCCCCCTGACATTATGTCTAGTTGTGTCTGACTCTGGGGGTTGGTGCTCATCTCAATTTTTAAACTGAAGACCTGGCATTGTCCGTAGACACCTCTAAGATCATGTAGCCAGCATGACTGCATGGAGTGCCGTTATCTTCCTGCTGGAACAGTACCTATTGATCTACTCACATTTGCATGTTTTCTAACTGCTAGGTTGGTAGAAGCTGGGGCTAACAGCGGAAGCTCACCCTGCTTCCGGATTCGAACCTGCAACCTTTCAGGCAGCAAGTTCAGCAGCAGCTCAGAAGTTTAACCCGCTGTACCACAGGGGGCTCCCCTATGTAACTTGCAACTTATAATAAAAAGGACTGTATTTTCCCATATGACTCTTTCCTCTCAGCAACATTTTCTTGCACCTAACACCCTTAGATCCTCACGTGGGTGAGGATGTGCTTTGGCCTCATATAGGCTCTGGAACGTCCCTTCTGTGGCCAAATGGCTGAGACCTTCTTATGGAGGTGATTTTTTTTTTTTTTTGGTGTCAGGAGCGACTTGAGAAACTGCCAAGTTGCTTCGGATGTGAGATAATTGGCTGTCTGCAAGGACGTTGCCCAGGGGATGCCAGACGTTTGATGTTTTTACCATCCTGTAGGAGGCTTCTTTCATGTCCCCGTATGGGAAGCTGGAGCTGACAGATGGAGCTCATCTGCTTTTCCTGGATTCGAACCACTGACCTAATGGTCAGCAGTCCTGCCAGCACAAGAGCTTAACCCACTGCACTACCAGGTGACTGACAATGGGACTTTGCTGCAAGGAAGGAAGATGGTAGCACCTCAATAAAGAATATAGAAATGATATATGAATCATAATACAAGGTTTACCAGACACCAAACTTGAGTTTGACACCAAATAAGTATCTTTTTAAGTTTTCATTGTCTACTCATCTGTTTCTCTGCATTGTTGGTCATCTTTTCACCCAAGTTAGGCTTTTAGACTATTTATGCATGTATCATTACTATATGTGTGTTAAATTTCTCTTGCTCGTGTCCTATACTGGGTTAAAAAAATAAGAAACAGACAGACAGACAGACAGACAGACAAATAACTGTCTGTGTCTTCTCTTTATTATTTTTTGTAAGCCACCCTGAGAAGATGTGCATACCTTAAATAAAGAAAATAACTAATTAATTAATTTAGTATCCCCTCTGTCTCCCATTCAAGGCAGCTTACAACCATGTAAAAATACAGGACAACTAAATAAAAGAAATCCTAAAACAAAACTCTTAACAAAGGTATAAAGACAAAAACAAAGAAAGCTATTTCAAAATGATATCTGTTGCTTTAGAAAAAGCATATGAAAAGGATTCTGTATAAACAGAAGCATATCTTTGCTTCCAATCACTCCAAAGGCAATAAAATCTTCTTTTCATGTTGCCAGTTCTTTTATAACTTTGTCAGAATAGCACTGTTTCAGGCTCTAAGATTTAATCTTGGGAACTCTACTTGAATTCCAATCTGGTTTGCATGGGAAATCTGTACCAGAAAAAGCCATAGCTTTCACCTGCTTTCTCTATAAAGATGCCCTTCTTTAGGTACGGGAAACTCTGCTCCGAAGCAATAATAATTGACTGACACTTGCTGGAAATTGAGCTTGAAGAAGCAAATGTTACTGTTTGTATTCATACATGGTGGTCCAGATCTTGTTCACACAGGTACACTAAGGGTTGGATTGCATATCTCCCTCACATGGAGTGACAACTATTGCCTGCCTATTGTGCCTAGCTAAATAATGAGTTATTTGTTCAACAAGAACTCTTCATTCCAAACTGTATAAGAAAAGCAAAATTCAGTTTATTCATGTTACAATTGTTAAATGATCCAGCTTCAAAACATCTCAGATCCTACCATTTCTGATAAAATAAATCATGCCTTTCACATTAGGAATTCATTTTTGATGGAAACACAACACGAATAGTGTCCAGGAATGAGCAAATATGTTACTGGGTTATTTTGGATATAACACAAAACTATAGCTTAATGTTCTGAAAATCAGCCACCTCTAAGCCAGAAAAAGCGGCTGATTAAAATGAACACATACTGAAACATGTGGAGACCGAGCATGTCTTTCAATGAGCTATAAAATAAGCTCTGGATAATTTAAATGAGGGACTGAATATTTCCTGTCCTCATCTATTTGCATTCAATGCTAGCCCACAGTTTCAGTGTTAGATCAATCCACTCTAGGGTTTAATTTGAATTTTAAAGACACTACCCACAATGCCAAATGCTATCCTTAAAATAGATTCAACATTTTAAATAGTTTATTTAAATTCTGGACTAAAGCTCAGACAGATTCATCACCAAACTGATAGGCTTGAGCACAGTTCCCATTATTAGCCATTTCCTTTGGCCAATCCAGCTTCTTCAGTTTGTTTGGGTGCCCGAAACAGCAAGGGCCCAGTGGTCACAGATTCCTGTCTGTAAGGGGGCCACGAGGCATCTGATCTTGACTCCTCCTCCCCTATTCTGCACTACAGTTTAATTTTTATTTTTTCTTGATTTTTTTATTTAGTGGGACTGACTGGGAGTTGGGGACATGCAGGATAGGTGAGTGGGGTGCATGCATGTTTGGGAGCTTGGAGAGTCACCCTTTAGGTTTTTTTTCTCTTTCCCTTCCTCTCATTCAAATACTTCTAAAAGATAACAATAATTAATCCCGGAAAGCAAAAAGAATACCCTCGTTCTCTGAAAACTACCACCACCTAGTTACCTCTCCTCTAGAGTTGAAAGTAGAAACAGCTATACGGAAGCATAAAGGATAAAGGAAGGATAGCTCCAGTCCATCTCTCTTCCTTCCCTGGGCCTCCTTAAAATGCCTTGGAAAGCTATGTGATGTGCTGCGGGGAGAGAAAGCTTGCACTTGCCTGCAGCGCTTCTCCTCTAGAGTAGAAATAGCTTTAATGAAGCATTGAACCCAGTCTCCTCTACAAACAGAAAGGAAAAGATTGCAGAAAGAGTGATATTTAAATACTTTAAATCCAGGTCTTAATGAAGGATATGGAAGGAGCCTGTGGGAAGTCCATAATGGGCCAGATAGGGTGCTTTCTTAACCCCATTGCTGACACCCAGGCACCCTTGAAGGAACAAATGAAAGGGTCCCAGGAATGGAATGGGGGGCCTCTTAAGTTCCCCATTGCCACCAATGGGCTGGATCTAGTTGTATTTTTTGGCTACGAATCGAAAACAGCTATCTGGCTAAACACCTGTTTTCAGGAGGCATGCAAAAATGGATACAGGGGTCTACCTGTATCAGGTCAGCAGAACCGGATCAAGGTTCAGCTGAAACGCACAAGCCCACAAACTGATATGGGGCTGACTGGAAACATTCACTTCCAAGTTTAAGCCAACCCCACCTTGTTATTATATTTATAGTTTATTAAAACAAGACAGGCTCCATTGTTGTTGACTCATTTCAATAAAGCATTGTTTAAATTAACATTAATTTAAATATTTACATCTAGCGAGAACCTGCAGATATTTCTATTCTTTGCCCTATTTTGCCAGAAGAGAAGAGAGGGGAAGACAAGAGGAGTGTTCAAGCTTCAGGCCTGAACAATATCACTTCTTATTCAGACATTTAAAATATTATTTTAGAAAAGGACATATTCATTGCTTAAGATGATTTGGCATGTAATTTTATTTATTTTTTAAAAAAACCTATCTCACAAATATTGAAAATGCAACAATACAAATCCATGGTAAATCCATCAGAATTCCTACCATATCTAGACTGCACTAAATCTAATTAGAAGCCGTATTTGGGTTTTGCAAGTGAATTATTCAGTGCTATGAAATAGGAAAACTCATAATACCACTGTCATGACATGACATTATTATTGCAAAAATGTGGTCTGGACAGTTTTATTTGGAAAGGAACCATAACATGGGCAAAGCAATATATTCAGAGAACACAATGCTTTCTGGACTGACAAGGGGTGAATAGGTTCTTAGATAAGGAGTTTCTGGCTGCGGTTCATTTGGCCCAGTTTTATTTCAGCCTCTGCCTGAAAAACTCACCTCCCAATGACTAAAGAAACCACATTTTCCCTTGGAAGTCTATATCCCTCACTATCTGAGAGGGCTACTACTGTTATAAATCAAGCATCAAATTTCTTGGTCAGTTTTCTTCTTGCATCTGAGTTCTCAGACAGCTTCCTTTGTGGCCAAAGAACATTATACCAAGTTTTTATAAATGAGAAAACCCCCATTCCATTGTTATACTGTCTGGTGCATTTTTTGTTCCTTTCTTGCTACTACTACTACTATGACTTTTCCTGCCTTGTTGAACATTCTATTGTTCCGCTCAGTATTTTTGGTTCTGCATTTTCAATTCTGAATCAAACCCATCTTGATTTGATTGTGCACTCTTTTTTACTGTATTGAGATTCCAGTCCTTGATCTTAGAGCAGTGGTTCTCAACCTGTGGGTGCCCAGGTGTTTTGGCCTACAACTTCCAGAAATCCCAGCCAGTTTACGAGCTTTTAGGATTTCTGGAAGGCCAAAACATCTGGGAACCCATAAGTTGAGAACCACTGTCTTAAGAAGATGTCCACACTTTTTTTTAAAAAAAAGTGGTATTTATGCTGAAATATCTCATCTTAAGAAACATTCCAAAAATGACCAATCGGACTAATAATTTTTCAGTCTCTTACCTGATATAAATGAACCTGTTCCTTGGTTACTGCAAAAATTAATAAAACATTGTTTTGTATTATCTTGTCTATTAATTGTCCCAAACTAGGATATTCCTGAAGACAAACAAGAAAAGTAATCAGTCTTAATTGGAAGAACAAAACTTCAAACCAAAAGTACTGTATATAGTCTCCTGCATTAGAATCTGGATATATACTGCCATATAAAATGCAGATTACCTGCTTTGAACTGGATTATATGGCAGTAAAGACTCATATAATCCTGTTCAAAGCAGATATTTGATTTGATTTGATGTCATAATCAAGATTATGTGGCAGAATAGCTCCAGCCAAAAAAAAAAAAAGCTATGTAATACAGGAAAACCTAGAAATAATAACAACAATCACAACAACATTTTTTTTCTTTGCAGACTGCCCTATTGCCCTATCTTCCTGAAGAGACTCCAGGGCAGTTTCCAACATACATGGCAAACATTCAGTGCCAAAACGAGAAGACATATTAACAAATTATATCAAAACAGAACACATCAAACATTATAAACAACCTAATTTTAAACTGAATAACAAACTAAACTAAACAAAGACGAAAAGTTAACATAACCCAAACAGACATAATTTATCACAGGGTAAAACATCTAACCAAGCAAGCAGTGGATTACATTCATGGGGGTCAAGGGCCAAAAATGTGGTGAAAATGGAAAAACCATTAATATACCTCAAACATACACGATAAACCCCTCTCAATTAACATCCCTGCCCCTTGCTCAATTCACTACCTTCCCACCATGAAGGCTGAATCAGAATTTAAACCCCTTTCTCACTGATCTACCTTCTCTCCTCACTACTTCGGTTGCCAGATTTTAAATCTCTTTTCTGGGGTTTAACTCCACCTAAGAGTTATTTATTATATTGGCACTTTGTAGACTGCTCATGTTTAAATGAAACGTGGAGCTCTCTAAGACACTGAGGTACAACATGACTGATAAATCCACAAAGCCTAGGTTAACAATAAAACACAGGGCAATCCTAACTTTAGCTGGAGATATTTATCATCTGAAGAGTAGGATTACAGGGCTTTCCCATTGGCACAGTTCATGTTTGAACTGTACCTCCTAGATACACCTAAACAGTGAAACAAAGGGTGGGATACTTCAGTTCTCAGATGAATTTTTCTTCTGTCATTATGTGACATCAATATCTCAGATAAACATGTAATTCTGGTTTAATTCAGTTGAGAATGACCTCATAGATTCAGTACTTTGCTTTCATACAGTCAATTTCTAGACAATTTTATAATGGGAGAAGATTGTGTAAAACATGAAGCATATTACCAAAACAGTTGACATGGAATATTCATTATTGTCATCCAAGTGGCATTCTCCATCATTCGGAATAACAATTCCTGCTAGTTTACTATCCATTCCAAAATGGGAATCTGCATCAGTCACAAACACCAACAGATGTAATGAATCATTCCTCCACCCAATTTTTTCCTGGAATTAAAATGTAAATAGATAGTGATAGAGGATGTAACAGAAAACTATGTTAGTGGTATTTCTATATCTAATTTAGAAATATGATTAGCTTTGTCTTAATGATCAAAAATACACTGTATTTAAAGTTCAATTTAAATGCTGTCATTTACTAGTAAATAGAGATTGGAATTCAAAGACATTGCCTTGTTAGTCTGGAATATCAGTATGCAAAGGGATCTTGTAGCATTATTGTGGAAAGGGAAAAATAGAATATAAAACAACTTATGAGCATAGAAACATTGCAAATCTTAAAAGCAGGAATGAGTGTTATGGGGGAAAAAGACTGTAGCAGCACTGGGTTTTATTTTCATATGTATTTTCAATTATAATTTCAGTTCAAATAATATGAGATAAGCATATAATTGATGGAAAGTTTTTGGTTGAGACCAAAATAGTGATAGTATGTTTTCAACCATTTTGATTTATCCCAGATAAGGGTTACACATGTGTATTACCTTACCTTACACACAGCTGCCTGCATAATTGCATCAAATCCTCCCTCTGGAGTGTCTATATTTGCACTGATTTTCTGTTTTTTCACAATATCATTGAACCTCTCAGCATCATTGGTCAGTGGCAGAACATGCTTGTATCCAAATGTTGGAGAGCAGTCATGTGAGACACTTCTGCACAATACAAAATAAAAACAGTGCACATATATATTCAAATGGCACTTTACAATTTTCACCAGTAGACTATTGCATTGTTTCTTAAACTATGGGGTCCCCTTAGCTCAATGTTTGGGTCCCAAAAATATGACAATAGTAAATGTTTTCTGAACATCATCTAGTGCAGTGGTTCTCAACCTGTGGGTCCCCAGATGTTTTGGCCTTCAACTCCCAGAAATCCTAACAGCTTGTAAACTTGCTGGGATTTCTGAGAGTTGTAGGCCAAAACACCTCGGGACCCACAGGCTGAGAACCACTGATCTAGAGGATGTTTTAGACATTTACATTAATTGGTTCTGCAGGGTTTATAGTGGATCCTGCTTTAGCTGGGCTCATTAAAAGGAAAATCAGTCTGTTTAGCAAGCTTTACAAATACTGATTTCTTATTAGTAAATGTTTGATTTGTATACCTGTTTTATATATCTGTATGTCATGGAAAAAGGTTTTGGGCCAAAAGGGGTCGTGGGTGGAAACGTTTTAGAAGCCCTGGTCTACTGTATAGATTTATCTGTAAATTATTAAAACGGTGGTATTGAAATGCAGTCAACAGGTGGCTCAGAGCCTCACAATGCCTAAAATCGCTACTGAGTGCAAACCTAGCAGGAAGAAGAGGGGGCAAAATTCTGTCCTTCCTGATAAGTTGAGGTGAAAGTAAACTGCTGCAGCTTTTGTGCCACTCCAAATTAATAACATTTGCCATCTTGACCACAGTCTGCATGATCACAAAAGTCCCAGCTTTCATTTGTGAGAGGCAACACAGAATGGTGCAGAGCTTGCTGAACTGTGTGTTGTGACACATCAGTGTGTTGGCTGCAGTGTGTAGGTGTGTTGCATGAGAAACTTCTGAGCCAATGTGAAATAAACAATTGTGTGTGTGTGTATGAAAAATTCTCATGAGTTATGAGGGCCCCCCAAACATTTTGTTATTATAATTGATGTACATGTCTTTATCTCTTCTAGATTAACTCTGGTTTGCTAGTAAAACTTAATTACTATTACCTCATCAGATAGGTTGATCTGCCCATCGCTGCTTCACCTCCATTTTCAGCACAAGGCCCTTCACACAACACACAGGCATATCCAGTCAGGCTCCGTGTTGAAAAGAGAGAGGAAGCAGTGCACACGGCCACCGCAGCGACACAGTAGCCTTTCTGTGTTGCCTTTCCAGCAATGCGGGGGGGGGGGGGGGGGGAGCCGGGTGGCAATACTGCACCCATGGGATTTGGGGTAAGGTAAGGTGGGTGATGTGAGGTGTGGAGTGGTGGCTTCCCCCCGCCACCCACCGAGAACCTTTTCAATAAGGTTGTATGTCACAAAATGAATAATGTCTAAAAAGTGTGCCACCAACAGGAAATGTTTGGAAAGTTCTGGTGCAGTGGTTTGGGTGTTGATCTAGAGTTCTAGGAGATTAGGTTTCAGCTATGGTAACCCTCCATATGACCTTAAGCAAGTCACACTGTCTTCGCCTCCAAGGAACATATGAGCAAACCCTTTCTGAACAAATCTTGCAAAGAAAACCCATGAGAGGTTTCCTTTAGAGTTGCCATAGGTCAGAAACAACTTGAAGACACACAATAACAATGTTACTAAAGCGGGTGAAGAGCCCCTTTAGGCTTTCCCATATGGCTTTCTGAGACCTTCTCATCAGAGAAGGTGAAGGAAAAAGAAAGAGGGCTCTCTTGGGATCTGTAATGGAGAAAAACAAGAGCAGAGTTGATTTAGGATCCACTCGCACAGGTGGTCAAAACATCCTTGAGGAAAGGAGCTCTTGAGGAGCACTTCTGCATCAATACCAGTAGCAAAGAGGGACCTGCTCTTGTCGAGAAAGAGGGAGAGAGAAGTTGACGGGACACACAGCCATTCCTGCTGTTGCCACACAACCTCGACTTATGTGATTCCATGAGACTCTCAGGACAATAAAAAAACAAAGGGAAAACCCCAAATATGCCAAATAGAGTTAGTATAGAAAATTCCACTTGTATGAAATGCTTAAAGGAGAGCTGAAAAAAGAAAATCTGAAACCCGTTGGAGCTTTTGCTACTTACCGGCAAGGATTCTGTATGTCTTCTGCTAGAGTATTGATGAATGGTGAAACTGGTTTTTCTACGAATGACCCAAAACCCAGCTGGAAGTTGCTTGTTAGTTTAGACATTTCTTTTGATAGGGTAGAACCCAGTACCTTTATGTTATTCAGGTCATCGCTCATGGAAGCCGAAAGATCCATGAGATAGTAGAGGTCGACCGGATAATCTTCAGTCTGACGTACATTGATCTGTATTGTTTCTTCATTTCCTTGCAAAGCCCCAGGGGAAATGGAAAACAAATTAGCGCAGCTGCGGTTGCAGAGTGAAAGGGAAAATGCAATATTGACTGCATCTGCTTATTCTTGGTGGTACAAAGTATTGTTTCTTTGAGGGTTTTGGAACAAGGTTTTTTTATTGTGTCAGAAGCAACTTGAGAAACTGTAAGCTGCTACTGGTGTAAGAGAATTGGCCATCTGCAGGGACGCTGCCCAGGGATGTCCAGATGTGTAACCATCCTGTGGGAGGCTTTTCTCATGTCCCTGCATGAGAAGCTGGAACTGGCAAATGAGAGCTCACCATTGGCAGTTTAGCCAGCACAAGGGTTTAAATCATTGGGCCACTGCGACTCCTGGAACAAGGTAGTTCATGGCAATTTTACTAGCCTTTTCAATGTGTTAGAGTAGTACTCCAGTTTACAAAGCTAACAAATAAATGCAAACTTTAAAGCAGACTTTTCCAAACTCTGTGGCACAACACACTGGTGTGCCGGCTGCAGCGTGTAGGTGTTTCACGTGAATGTAATGAGAAACCTCTGAGTCTATGTGAAATCAGTCAATCATATATGTTCAAAAATATAAATTATAAATTTATAAAAAAATATAAAAATACCTTTTCATAAGGTATGTTGTGTTGCCATATGTTTTATCATTACAATTTATATATGTGACTGTTACTCTTATAAGGGATTGGTTTGACTTCCAGTTTGTTAATAAAACTGAATTACTGTGTTGTGAAATGATGCATGTCTAAAAAGTGTGTCACCAACATGAAATCTGTATTGAAATAATAACAAAATCAATTTATTTTGAGAGACCAGTCATTCTATAACAGTGGTCCACAAGAACTAAAATATGGTCCGCAGCCTCACTGTTACTACCCCATTACAACAAGAGCAATTGGTCTCATAAAACCCTCTTATAATGCTGAGGTTTTAAAATATGGTTTTCTGTGGGTGAGCAGATGGCGACTACTGGATGGCATATGTTCTGTATCAGAAACTAGAGCTGATGTGGTCTATCCAATGCAGTTTTCTGAATCAGCACCTCAAATAACCAAGCCAAACCTAAAGTTGACCAAAAACCGTTTAGTAACCCTTTTGGTACTAATGTTGGAGAGTGGCCCCTGGTGAAAGTGGTACCTGGTGAAAGTGGTCCCTTTTCAAGTGGTCCCTGGTCAAAAAACGGTTGAGAACCACTGGTCTATAATAATTTAGCAAACATTGTAATGCCTGGCAATTGCAGAAAACTTATATAGATATTTTAAAAAAGAAGTGGTACTTTGCATCAAATAAGAGAACATAGGACTATGGTCTTAGTATATGACACAATTAGTGACTAGAATCCATTAATGGATGCATAATCGATAGTTACACATTTTTTTTAAAAAAAGGTTTCATTGAAATACTTCATAATTGATATTATAAAACTAAATATAGGGAAAAACTCTGTTCCCATTTTTCCTCATATATTCCATCACGAGTCTCCATTCTTCTTTAAACTCTCCCAATGTCTTTTCTTTGATTAGATTACTCTACCACTATGATGATTCCCAATTTATAACTGCCCAGGTGCATTCCAGCCAAAATTCCTAATGTGTAATATGAACAAACAAACGATATGAACAAAACCACAGATGATAAGAACTACATTTATTAATTTACCTGGTCTCAGAAAAACAGTCAGCTTTTGAGGAGAAATCTGTGTAACGTCTGAGTTGTTTTTTTGAGGACCTTCACTCAGGAACTTATTTTTTTCAATTACTACTTTAGAAACAGGGAATTCAATCAAATTTGATGGGCATCCTTTTGCAATAAGCTTGTCAGGAGTGTCACATCTTTTATAAATGTTAGACAGGTCAGTAAAATTCTACAACAAAAGAGGAGTAGAAGAATAGAATGTAATTTCGGCACAACATAAAGTATTGTCGTTTGGGAACAATAGATTGGTTGTAGGAATAATAGTGCTTTTATGAGTTGTATTATGGTATGCATATACTGGGGAAAGGTGCAAATATGAAATATTGCAAAATTATTAAATGAGCAAAATTGTGTGCTTATAACCCATACATTCCCTTTCAGCATTGAGGATGTATATTTGTTGAACAGACAAATCAACACAAAAAAACAACATTGCACATATCCTATACTGCTATGTGGGATATAATAATATAAACATTGCTCGTTCTGCATACTGTTGTCTGAGCAAAGTGTGAGCCAGTATAGAGTAATGGTTTGGACATTCAATTAGGACTCTAAAGACCACAGTTCAAACTATGTTTAGTCATGAAAACTCATTGGGTAACCTTTGGCAAGTCACACTCTCTTGGCCTTAATGACTGCACTAGCAAGCACCTTCTGAATGAACTTCCTAAATGTATTGTTGAAGGCTTTCATGGCCAGAATCACAACCTCTGAGGATGCCTGCCATAGATGCAGGTGAAACCTCAGGAGAGAATGCTCCTGGAACATGGCCATACAGCCCGGAAAACACACAACAACCCAAACTTCCTAAAAATAATACTATAAGAGGTTCACCTTGGTGTTGCTATAAGTCAGAAATGATTCAAAAGTACACAACAAGAGAAAGTATGTGCTCTTTTAGATGACATTGGACGACAAATTGAATTTTTTTCATCATTGCTTTGTTGATCTGTACAGACAGAACTGTAACCCAGCAATATGGCCAAGATTATATAATTTGATAAATATTACATAACAAATTCGTTGACTGTAGACCTCATCCCTTGATAATGATGTACATCTCATTTTCAAATTCTGCCTAGCCTCCAATTGCAATGTGCCATTACTTGCTCTATATAGCATTGTACTATGTTCAATAACTCAAGTTTACTAGAGGGTTAGTTTTGTAATTATTTTACAAAATGTTTCCTATGAAACCCTGATACACAGTTACAATTGGTGTAATTGGCATTCTTACTTTTACAACAACAGCAACAGACCGAGAAGAGATGCAATCTGATAATATTATACTTCAAGAAAAAAATTAGGTTTCAAAAAACTCCTTCAGATGTAATATTTTCCTCTTTAATATTGTTTTTGAAAAACTGTCTATTGTATGGTGGAAATGTCTTAATTTTAAAACATTTTTGGAAACTGCTTTGTTACATTAAACATATTATAAGGTACTAGCTAAAATAATAGGATGACTGATTAGTAATAAATTATTATTTATTATTTGTTCTACATATTGTCGTGATCTATATCTCACCTTTGCTTGAGGACAGGGGACCCCATTAGTATCTGAGTAAATAGAAAAATTACTACTTCTGAATTAGAGTGGTTAAGTAGAATTATATGATGCTCTCATTGTAGCTCAGAGACTCATACTTGAAGACAAATATTCCTTTTCTACTATCAGGAGCTCTTATGGCTTTAGCCATAAACCAATTTGTGTTGTACAGATGTTAATACCAAGTGCACTTTTTTGTGCGTTGTAATATTTTCTTCTGTTTAAGTTTATGCGTAAACCATGAACCTAAACAGGTTGGCGATCCCTTCTGCCTAAACCATGACCCAATACAGGTTGATTATTCTTGTAATAAGTGCTTGAGACAAGAAGTGCCTCGGATTTTGGGTTTTGATTTTTTTTTTAATATCTGTATTTGCACATGTATCCATACTGATATATCTTGGAGATGAGACCCAAGTCTAAACACAAAATTCATTGTTATCTCATATACAGATTGAAATTAATATATACAATTTAAAAAATAATTTTGTCCATGAAACTAAGTTTGTGTACATTGAACCATCAGGAAGCAAAGATGCCACTATCTCAGCCTGGATTTTGGAATAATTTTGGAATTCTGAGTAAAGAATGCTCAACCTTTAGTATAAATGCACCCCTTTCTACCTTTTCACTCCTTAATTTTCAATTATATATTTGAAATACAGTGGATTACATATGATTAAACTAGAAAAGAAGTAGCACTTTACATGAGACTGAGAAAAAACTGGGCAAAATTCATAATACTTTTTTTTTCTTTGTGAGAAGGAGTCATTTTACAAATTGTACTTAAAATCATTTGGAATTATGTTTGCAATGATAAATGTGAGAGAAATTACATGAAAATGGTCTCTCCACATGGGACGTCTCTGTGGATTTTTAGTAACATAGCCTAGCATATCCCATTGATGACAAGCCTCTTCTGAACAAATCATTCAGAAGTAATCTTTCTCATGTGGAATAAAGATATCTCAAGAGAAAGTTTAAATCTGAATATTTGTGTATGTATGTGTGTGTGTGTGTGTGTGTGTGTGTGTGTGTGTATATATATATATATATATATATATATATATATATGGAAAAGGAGACATCTCCTAGTGTTAATAAACACAGCTCTTGGTTATAATACATCAGATACTAAATAGTGGTTTGTAGCTCTTTTTCCTTTTGATGCTGAATTAATCATTAAGATACAACTCTAAGTCCATACATTTACTGAAAATCCTCATTTGGATTAGTTTCTATGACTGCTATATTTTAGTTAGGCTTTTATTAAAAGAAATGAAAGTTAATTTAATGCAAACTTCCTCCACTGAATGCAAGGAACTCCATATCCTTTTTTATACAGAATCACTATGGAACTAACCAAGCATAGATAATAATATTGACAAAGAAGATCTGCCTTTGAATTAGAAACATCAACTAATTTTTGATCCATCACATTAAGAGTATTAACATTATAGGCTCCACAAAGCTTTCTAAGCCTTTCCTAAGGAAATGGAATTTATTAAACCAAGAATAATATTCCTCAGATTCCCAGTTGCATCCAGACTGATTACCAAGCTCCAGATTTTGTTTCTGTTCTTTCCAATTTTGTTTTGGGGAGCCATACACTTCTTAAACATTTTCTCCCAGTTTCCAGTATAATCATAAACAAATCTCCAAGTCATTTTATTTAATCCAATATAAAATAAGAAAGAACCAGAACAAAAGTTTGGAAATTTCAATCAGTCTGGATGGACCTTGAAAAATCCCAAATTTTGTTCCTTTCCAATTTTATTTATGTCAAAATAAACTGAGCCAAGGAGCTGATACTAAAAGGTGTCCAAATCTTACTGGAAGCTCACAGAAAATATTCTGTGCATGAATCTCCTAAACTGTTTGTCTGTTCTATTATGGCATTGAATGTTTGCCACATTTGTTGGAAACTGTCCTGAGTCTCCTCAGGGAGATAGGGCAAGTTACAAATAAAGTCTTATATAAACAAATTTGGAAAAAAAGAGAAAAAAATCTTTTTAGTTTGGATGGTCATTTCCACTAGAAACAAATGTTGCTACCAGACTTGGAGAAGTTACCTTTTGTGCACTTTTTTCATTTTTTATTAGACTAGGGACCTTGTCACATAGCCCAGCTGGGCTGTTTCATCTTGCCGGCTTTTACCGCATGCCTTCCCTCTTCCCTTCATCAGACATGGAGGACGGGAGAAGGTGCATTGGCACCCTTTCCCATCACATGGCAGAAAAGGTAGCAACACATCTTGCCCTACTGCCCTTTCTCCCATCACACAAGCTTTTGGGGCCAAAAGTGCAGGTAGCTCCATCGAAGCTACCCACACGACACTATCCTCGCCATAGTGGAGGGCGAAATGCCTCTTGGCTCATCATCTCCACTTTGGGAGGAAAGTAGGCGGGGCCTGCTGTGGGTTGTGTGATGGCGCATAGCAGGCCATGTCAAAGCTGTAGGGATTTGTAAAAGACACCATGATGTAAATAGGTTGACTGGAAAGAGATGTGTTGACAGCTGATTGGCTGAGCATGCCAGGAGACAGGATTCTGATTGGCTGCTGTCTCTGGCTTGCTGCTGAGACTAACGGTTTTAACTGTCATTTTCATCTTGGACAGTGAAGAGAGTGCTGACTGGAAACAGCCAAGGAGAAAATGGCTGCCAACTCTCTGAAGCCTGATAATTTCTGAGGCATGAAGCGTTTTTTAAAGACTGTTTAAAAGGACTGTTTATTCCCTCTGTTCTCCGTAAGAATTCAGAGAGTCTGCTGTATATATTATTGCTCTGTTTGATCTTTTGAACTGAAGTAAAGTTACTGTTACTTGTTACACAAATCTGAAGGTATAATCTTGGTTCAGAAACTATGGTAAAGCTCCTGCTTATTTACATCTACAACCCCTAACAAAAGCTGCACATGAAGGTGGCAAAATGGGGAATTTTTTCCCCATGTGAAGAAGTCGTAGAAAACATGCCTCTTTTTTAACAACGTGAATTCTCCTGAGAGATTCTGGGAGCTGTAATCCAAATATAACTTTTTCTGTAACAGATAAAATGAGATATTGATTGATGTACTGTCGAAGGCTTTCATGGCTGGGATTACTGGGTTGTTGTAGGTTTTTCGGGCTGTATGGCCATGTTCTAGAAGCATTCTCTCATGACGTTTCACCTGCATCTATGGCAAGCATCCTCAGAGATTGTGAGGTCTCACAAACTCTGAGGATGCTTGCCATAGATGCAGGCAAAACATCAGGAGAGAATGCTTCTAGAACATTGCCATACAGCGCAAAAAACCTACAACAACCCAGATATTGATTGACTGATTTTTTTTATTATTTAGCACTCAAGCATTCATAACAGAGACCAGTCTCTCTCTCTCTCTCTCTCTCTCTCTCTCTCTCTCCTACCTACTGCATTAAAAGCTTGAAGACAGAAATGTATGATTATCTCTAGCAAAAATATGCTGACTCTAAAAACAAATGAGTACATGGCCATGTAAACCCATATTTTAAGATGCTTAGACTCAGGTTTTCCTTATCAGGTAACAAAATCCAAGAAAAAGTAAGCAGCGTTATTAAGGAGAGGGAAACATAATGCCTCCATTGGTTTAATTTAAATTTACAAATTGTTGACAAAACGTTTCCTCAGGCTGGATATTAAACATGCATACATGCATGCACAAAGTCAAGCTGGGAGGAAAAATGTGATGATTAAGGGTGTGGAAGCTACATTTGCAATATATGGAATGCCTCATGATAATGATTTGAGAAACTCTCTACAGTCTGATTAAAGCTGCAATCCTGTATAGACATGCTGTGTGCCCCATAGACACTAGTGGGATTTACCTATGAGTAAGCAGCTATAGGTTTGTGCTGTAGATATGGAATCAAAGCATATCTGTTGTTCCAACATTTTACCTCCAATATGTTAGATCAGTGGTTCCCAAACTTTGATCCTTTGGGAGTTTTGGACTTCAACTCCCAGAAACCCCATCCAGCTGGAGGAACAGCCAGGAATTCTGGGAGCTGAAATCCAATACATCTGGAGAACCAAAGTTTGTGAACCACTTTGTTAGATCTTAAGTAACATCTTTGCCAAATAGTATTTCTGGAAGGTGCCAAGATAGGGAAGTCTAGCCTAGGATGAAGCTCTTCTTTCTGTCTCATCTTGATGGTGTACTCATTTGCTGAGAATTTGAATATGCCATAACTATCAAGCATGGATTTTCCCCATTGTATTACATAAGTGTATGGAAATGAATCAGTCAGTAAAGTCAAAATCATATTAAAGTTTTCCCTGGGAATCAAATTAGTATCACAACTTCCATGTGATTGTAGATTTTTGAAGGTAAAGGGTGAAAACTGGCTTCAAAGAAACAGCATCACAGAGCAACTGTGTGCCTCCTTACATGTTGTTTTGGGCTTTCTTGTGGAAAGGAGGTTTCATTGAAACTAACTGGACTTGGTTGAGACTAGTGGGACACACAAGCAGTGGATCTGTATTTGGCTGACGGGATCTAAATTCCTTAAGAGTCTCAGTAAGATTAAGAAACTGTTGGTGAATTGGTTTTCCCCACACCTTTGTTTTATCAATATGTTTCTGGTTCTTTTTCAGGTTTCCATTCAATTACAAAGAGGCTGTTTTCAATACAAATATTGGAATTCCACTAAGAGGAAATCTGTCAGGCTTGGGGATTTACCAAGAAAATCAAAGCAATGCAGCATTCGCAGTAGACCATAATTTCTTCCTTGGTAACTTTTGAAGATACGTCAGTTTCACAGACTGTTTTTCCTAACTACTATATATGTTGTGAAAACAATGCCTGGTGCAGTTACTTAGAAACTGTCAGTCAGAAGCAAAGGTACCAATTTTCTGCAATTCTGAGCATGCACAGAACCCAGAATCTGGCACAATATTTATATTCTTCACAAACTCAACTTTCACTCCCAAAGAAAATAATGTTCAGCAATGCTCAGTCACTGTAAAACACGATCAATTCCCTTTTATTACAGTGCAGGGGAGTTAAGCATATTCTCATCAAAGAAAATCGCCTTAAAAATGCTTGGCCAAATTGTGATGTAGTTTTCTAACTTCCTTAACTGATGAGAAACATGAGAAAACATGCAGGCTGTATAGGTCAGGCTCAGGAAAGAGAGACTTGATGTAGGTCAGCCTTTTCCACCCCTGCATCCAGGATGGACTACAACAAGGGATAATGTAGTCCAATATATATGGCTTAGGAAGGATATCTATATTGAGATAAACATATAGCTTTTGCTCTGTGTGAGAATCATTGCTCTAAGTGTTGGATTTATTTCTTTCCACTCCACGTATCACACCAGTGCATTATAGACCAGCTTCTGAATCTGTTCTTACCAAAAGACTGCCCTTCATTATTATTATTATTATTATTAATAATAATAATAATAATAATAATAATAACTTTATTCTTGCATCCCGCCACCATCTCCCCAGAGGGACTCGAGGCGGTTTACACACGGCACAGAGTGCCAAAATAGAGTATAAAATAAAACACAATTTAAAATTACAGTTGAATAAAACATATTGGCATATTAAGACATTATTTTTGTATCAAGCAGCTTCTATAGGTGGCTACTCTGTCCCTTACCCTTGGTTAGATCACCCTACCTATCTATCCTTAGCTTCATATCACTTAGCCACCTCTCTGTTTCTGTTATAATATATTTTCCCTTCAAACCTTTTCAAATATACAACAAAAAGGAAAAAAATGGAAAATATTTCAAAGATTATCAAAATCCTTGATTTATCCATGCAAAATATTATGCTGTTGTGGTAGTTATTGTTTTTGGCATATAAGCAAGTGCTACATGTGGTTTTCTGATGGCTGAGCTGATGGATATATATATATATATATATATATATATATATATATATATATATATATATATTCATATTCTTAGGGTTATGGTTTTATTTAATGGTTTAATAAGTTAATCACCTTCAGCTCCATGTGAATATTTATAGATAAATATATTAATTTATGTTAAACTAAATACATATGTACAATCTAATAGCAATTATAGTCACGATGGCGCTGCTGACAACTGATTTTTATCATTCCCAAATGGGCTTTCAAGTCGCATTTCTCAAACAATTGCATTTCATGCCACAACTTGTACTATTTTTTAAAATAGAGTTCTGTTCAAACAACCTGCTTGTGAAATGGATTAGGGGTAAATGCGAGTAACCAGCTGTATGTGTGTATGTGAAATATTGTGCTAGGTGTGCTCAGTGCCTAAGGTGCTGAAATAAATCTTTTGATCTGGGCTTCTAATTGCATTCCTCAAGGCAGGATTTGAATTGCAAGAGAGGCTCAGAATATGGGCAGACCCTTGTCGCGATGACTTCAGGTATTTCCTTGTTTTTAGGTTGTTGGAGAATATTCATTTTACCTCTTGAAAACACCAGCCGCAATGTGGCCCGGAAAGCAAACAGTCTTCACAGTTCCCTGCACTCCCTGGATCACAGTTTCCTGAATTTCAGATCAAGAAAGTACAACAGATTAGTGTGTTGTTTAATTATTCCAGGCACAAGATATTTTTCTGGGTAATGTCCCAACTTTCCAGAAGATTGCCATTATGGGTAGACGTAGTTCCACCCATCTATTCAAAGGTCTCAGAAAATGGAAAACAATGATCAAAAGTGCTGTGAAAATAGCAATCATTATTAAATGATAGCTTCAAGAGAAATTAATTTCCACTTTCCTCAAGGTGTTAATTGGCATAAAGTAAGAATTTTCTGAAATATTTGTGCTAATGATTAACCTTATTCCTTGGAGTAAATCATTCCAGGGAAACCATGTCATGAGCTCCCTGCTATAGATGTTAAACGAACAAAAGGAAGGAACCTTCTCCTTTCCTAGATATTTCTGTAACTTAAAATCATAAATAAAAATATATGGCAGAAATTCTCGCACTACTTATTTACAAAGGCAAAAAGCCTGTAGCTCCTTTTCCATATTCTTCAATATTTTCACGAGAGTTAAACATTCTGCACTCAGATAAAAACACACACATAACCACCAGGTAGAAAGATGCAGTTGTATAGCTCTTACATTTTAAAAAAAGTTAAGGTCAGAATATATTCAAAACAGAACTCATCCTCAAAGAGTCTTACCTTGTACATTCTCATTTCTTTGAAGAAATAGGAAAAGGAGGTAAAACAATTCAATCCCCATTCGCTTTCAGTTCTGGCTGCACATACAAAACATATCAAAAATTATGTCCAGTGTAAGGCGATCAATACCGGCACTTTCAGCAGTCACAGATTATTCCTGTATGCATTTTAGGGATTTCTGCCCACAAAGTTTGTAGAAGAAACTCCTTAAGTTAACAGAACACTACATGAATAGCAATGAAACAAAAAAAGTACACCTTGATAGGTATGCAGTCGGCAGGCTGTGCATAAAGTAGCCCGCATGGTTATGGAATGTAATACAGTTCTTTATCTTACTTCCTTGTTTTCCTTATAAGGAAGACAGGTATACAGTCACAGGTGGGTGGGGGAATTCATACAGGTATGTACTGGTGTGTTTTTTTTAAAACAACAGTAGCTTCTAAAAGGTTCATAACATCTGAAGCCCAGACATAATGCCATTGAGATCTGTGTCCAGCATTTTTTTTTCAAAAAAAGTTGATAGCTTTTTAAAAATATCATACTTGGGTGAAATACCTGGAGTGGTGCATAAACCCCATCTTTGCCAACTTCCTTGTAAAAGAAATCCTGAAAGGGAGAGAAAACATCACAGTCAGGTGTAGTGAATGAACACATTTCCATGGGAAAAATTAATAGGACTAAAAGAAAAAAAGTGGCTAAAAAGAGAAGAAATAATAATTTAGTTATACCTAAATATCAGTTTGTTATAATGCATTCTGAAGCAGAACCGGAAAACTCTGGAAAACTACTGAGGATCTTTCCACATGTAACCCCATCCACATGAGGTACAATCCTCTGCTGGTGTTGAGTTGTGTGTGGGTACAGCTATACATAGCTTACTGGTTCCCTCTTGATCCCACTAGCTCCTTCCCTAGAACTTTAAACATGCTTAAATGTATGTACTAATTTTCCAATGAATAAACCAAGTTATTTTGTGAATGGAGGACCTCTGATTAATATGGAAACAATAGAATAATTTTCTAGAGTTAACTGTCACCAAAGATCATGTGTTGTCCTTGTTGAGTGCCTACAAGTCATTTCCAAATTATGTTGACCCTAAAGTGGCCCTATAATAAGGTTTTCTTGGCAAGCTTTGTTCAGAGGGAGCCTGCTGTTGCTTTCCTCTGAGGTTGTGAGTGACTTGCCCAAGGTTATCCAATGAATTTCTAAGCCTGAAGGGGATTCAGATTCTGACCTTAAGAATCATATTTTGACACTCACACCACCACACTAGGCTGACCATGGAACCTAAATATCTGGATTCATAATTCTTGAAATGTTGGGAAGTATCCTCGATATGGTTTTACATACACAGGTGCAATTTGCATATTATATCATATCATCATTAATCTGGTATCATGACCCATTTTGAAGACTCCATTTTATTATTAGCAAGTGAAAAAAAAAAGAGAAGAGACTTAAAGCCAGATTTAAACAAGAGAACCCATGGTGGTAGTCATGAGGAGTAAGAACTATCTCACAATTATCCATATTTTAATTACTGTTTCAATGATAAAAAGTTACATTTATTGCTTACCTGGCATTTGGGCATGTTTACATTGACCACTCATGAAGTATGGCATGGAAACACATTACTAGGGGGCTGTAGAGGGTGCAAACTGCATTGGGTGATACTAATGATTACAGTTTTTCTTTGAAGTGTTTTAGCCACAAAAACCCTTTTCGCTAGCCCAGAGAGAAATCTACCCTCAGAAGAGAAATTCATTCCTGAAAAAGTTATCATGGGGAAACGGTGTGTCCGCTGAAGCTTTATCAGCAATCCTTGTTTCCACAACAAGCCATATTTTTCAAAATCCAGTTATCACGGGGACAGAAAGTGAGGAGAAATCTTCTGAACAGGGGCACAGAGGTGTTCAACCTCCCCTATGTTATACAAAGCTATGTGTGTGTGTGTGTCTGGAGTTACACTTAAAATGTACCTGTTCCACCTTACATACAAAATCAACATAAGAACAAACCTACAGAACATATCTTGTTTGTAACTTGGGCACTGCCTGTATAATACTGTGTGATGAGGTCCTCATTTTGTTCCACAGAGTCAAGCTAATTTATCCCTTTGTTCTCTATGCTGATCCCAGTGCTAGAGTTACTGATCCTTTGGCAGACTTTATAATGAAGGCAATAGCTGTCCTTTAGTACTCATTGCTTCGTCTTGTGAATAAGGTATCTGAGTAGCTCCTAACCTCTGGTCTAAGACAAGGTATAAGGCAGGAGGAATTTTATGCAGTGTATCAAGTACTGGAATGGTATGATCCAGCCTTGAGAATGGACCTAATGCAGTTGTTTCGGCTCTGTTGTCCATAGAGATGTGCATTTGACTGGGACCTGTTTAACACCCCACATGCATAGGGCAGAATCCTCTAGTTCAATGGTTGTTAATCTTTGATCCTCCAGAGATTTTAGATGTCAATATTTCTTCATTGCTTGAATTGACTTGGTTTTCTGGTAGCTGAAGTCACAAAGAACTAGAAGACCAGTTGGAGAATCACTGATTTAAAAGATTAGTTACTTCTCCAGAAACTAATGGCATTATTTTGGTTTGCTGTTATAGGATAAGATGATGAAACTGTGAGTATGCAATATATATTCCTAGATCAGACCTTTTAATAAGTTCTGAAAGTAGATTTAGAGGAGGAATTCTTCATTTCTTAGTATGGAAGTATCTCAGACAAGGACCCCCACTTTCTGCTTTGAAAATAAAATTAAGAAACCCATACACACAAAAGTGAGATTCCTTTGACCTCAGGCTTCCCCACTTGTTTATGTAGTAAGTGCACACAACTTATTTGTAACCTACCCTTCAGTACCCTCTAGCAGCAAACCTTTCCAATCAATGTAGGAGCTTGTTGTAAGCAGCAAAGAACTGTCTAGGTTCTCACATGGGTAATGAAACTCCCATTTACTAGGACATCTCCAATTAGTTTTCTACACCTGATAAAATTTTATTTCTCCTGACATTTTAACTAAATTGCTAATTATAAGTATCACCCGGGGGCAACATTTGCATAGTTGCTGGAAATACATGGCATACTGTTTGCAAAATAGATTCAATCAATCTTGTAATCCAACCCACAGAGAGGAGTGGTGGTTCCTAGTAAAGGAGTGTCTTACCGTCTCTGATTTTTCACACTTAAAAAAAGACCTCCCATAAGTCCCACAGCATGTGCTCTATCCTCTCCCTCTTCCCTTACATCTCTCTGGGTGTCTGTTGCTAAGGCTGTGGGAGAAAAGGTAGACTCTTCTGTATGGTTATTGCTCAGAAGGGAAGGTAATCCAGGTCATTTTGCCGCCCAAAACAGAATGGTAATGGTGCCACATACTAGCCACTCAAATCAATATATGTACTCCATGCCAGGAGGTTATTTTGTCACATGATACAGGACATACTGTATATACTCATAAGTCTAGAAATTTTAGCCAAAAACCTGGGTCGACTTATCCACAGATCAAATACTCTCCTTTAACTCTTATCAAAAAGGAACTATATATGAATAATAATAACTTCATTTATTTCCTATAGTTATACCCCATCCTTCTCCCCCCGAATGGGGACTCAGGGCAGCCTTACAAAAGCATCATACGATGCTAGTATCATAAAAAACCCCACAGTACAATCAAAATATTAAAAATTAAAACAACAAATAAACAATTAATTAAGACTAATCCATTAAAATTGAAATCCAAAAAACCAGTCCGGGTCAATTCATTGCCATAAGTGTGTGATCTTCTTCCACTTGCTGCTCACTGATCAAAYGCTTGGTCCCATAACCAGGTTTTGATTTTCCTTCTAAAGGACAAGACGGAGATGGCCGATCTGATATCTCTAGGGAGGGCATTCCATAGGTGGGGGGGGGGGCACTGCTGAGAATGCCCTGTCTCTCGTCCCCATCAACTGTGTTTGCGACAGTGGTGGGATCGAGAGCAAGGCCTCTCCTGAAGATCTTAAACTTTGTGATGGTTCGTGGCAGGAGATACGTTCAGACAGGTAGTCTGCCCTATCTCCCCAGGAGGACTCAGGGAGGTTTCCAATATAAGGCAAAACATTAAATTGCCAGAAGGGAAAACCATACAAACAAATTAAAATAAACATTATAAAACATAAACATAAAATCCTGTAAAACAAACACAAAAATTTTAAAACCGGTTTCATTATAATTCCTTCAGACAGGTGCCAAATACCAATGGCCAGAATTACAAAATGGACATGGCTAACTATGAAAGGGTAGTGAAAGGTGATAGCTCCCCCCCCCCACGTGAGACAGTGCTTTTGTTATATGGCCTGCTGCAGAGATGACATCATCCAATACAACATAATACAACCAACACAACTCATCATAGAAATACATGATCATGGGGAAAGGGACAACATACAAGATCCTCTGTTGGAGATGTCCTTTATTTTGTTATCTGACACTTGTAATTGCTTCATAGTTCTTGGCCTAGGTACAACATAAGGAGATCAAGGCAAAACTTATTTTGCTTAAAAATAAAATAAAATAAATAACCAGAAGTGACTTCTACTAATTATAAATGTCATATTTATTGCGAGGTATGTAAGAAAATGATAAACAAATGTTTATGTACATGTGACTGTATCAGCCTATGGTGTCTCCATGGATTACATAGGGTATTTTTAGACAAAGAATACTCAGGGGTGGTTTTGCCTTCCACTGCAATATAGTCAATAACACCTGGTATTCATAGATGGTCTCCCATTTAAATACCAAACAGGGTTGATCCTGCTTAGCCTCCAAGATCAGATGGGATCTGGTGATAGTATGTTTAGGCTGTAATACCATTTGAAAGTTATCCATGGATGAATGCAAGAAATGACCTTTCTGAATCACACCCTTCTGAAAATATCTTTGTATGCATCTGTTCCTTCCCCCAGCTGACAACAGAAAAAGGATCTTTGCTATTCCAGTTCATACACCCACAAGCCACTATTTATTAGTTCATAATATTTTGTGCCACTTTTCATTTTTATATTCAAAACCTGCAAAGTGATTTACAAGAAAACACATTATGACAAGCTCCAATGAGCAATGCAATGCTACTTGTTTTTAACTGTTCATTTCCTGATTAATTTATTTTCCCAGACCAGTAGCAATGACTCACCTGTCAATGGTCAGAGCTGGTCCCTTCAGTTGCTTTGGGTGTATCGTCTGAACTTATCTGATTTTATAGAGTGAGCAGAGATGAATCAGTCACTATAAGAGTCATGGCACCCAGTGGGTCACTTGAAAGGGAAAGTCCCTTTGGCTCCAGTTTTATGCTCTTGTTCACATACCTTCTTGATGTGGCACACCTTCTTCCTAGCATTCACCCATTCATTAATCATTGACTTGTATTTATACACCATAGTCACTTTGCTACAGAATCATATAACAGTTCCTCTATTGAAACAGCTTCATTGGCAGAGACTTCACCAAACAGCTTCTCTGCTTCCTTGGTGACAGGAGCTGAAACTCAACCATGCAGGTGTGACTAGCTGAGATGAACTAGCAGAAGTGCCAGCTTAGAATAGATATGAATGATTATACCTG